GGTTCCCTTTTATAGCTAAACTTGCTTCTCGTGCTGCGCGCTATGGTTGGATTTCTGTTTCGTACCAGAAGTTTTTTCATCCAAGCTCATCTTCTATTGTACAAAGCTCAAATCCGCCCTGCTCTTGAACATTGTAGTCACCTGTGGGGTGGAGCTTCGTTCTCTTCCCTTTCCCTTCTTGATCGTGTTCAACAAAAGGCCATTCGGCTAATCGATGTTCCTTCCCTAACATCCAGTCTACAGCCACTAGCCCATCGTCGGGCAGTTGCTTCATTGTCCCTGTTCTACAGCTACTACTTTGGTTTTTGTTCTTCGGAACTTGCCTCGGCGGTTCCTTTTCCTGCAACTATTACCCGCCCAACCCGTACACAGGCATCTAGTCATCCTTACCAGGTTTCTGCTCCCAGGTGTCGTACCTCTCTACTCCAATCTTTTTTTCCCGAACTGCCAAACTGTTCTTTTTTCCCCAACTTACAATCTTACATTTCTTAAACTCAGAATCAATAAACTGGATCTTGTGTGGATGTTCCCCTACTCTCCCCTTTACAGTATGCTATTTGTCCATGGGGATTTCCCCATTTACTGTAATTCACATTGTGTAATAAAAACAATTCGTCCATATGTTACGGCAAACAAGCTTCCGTTCTGGCATGCTGTCTTTTATTTAAATGTGTGGTCTATTCCACCTGGATCGATTTCCGCAACTAGCTACAGTGAAAATTTCAGAACTACGAACGGATTCTTCGTAGCAGAAATGCTAGAGGAATTGCAAATAGCACATGCTTCACCACAAAAACCCAAGACATTTCTGTACCAAAGGGAGACTATCATGTCAACGGTCACCAGAATTTAAAACAAAAACATGATTAGCGGAACTAGTGTGTAACGGTAACTAACAGGACATTCCGAACGGATGAATATCCAATGCAAACTGTAAACACAGTAAACGCGGCAAAGGGAGGAACGCGAACGAGGTCAAATGTCCAATCGAGATAGCACCATGACCCGAAACAAAGTTGCCCCTCAAAAACGGAACAACACAAAACGAACGAATCAGTGGGCTTACCCTCTTCAATAACATTATGGACACTACAATTAATGAGTTAGAGTTAACGGGTACTATGCAAAACTTCATGAACACGAGAGATAGTGAGGGAGAAGAAATTTGGCAATCTTACTAAGAAGTTGTATTTACAACCGGCACAAGCAAATCACTGAAAAAATAACCGGAAAGATTGCAGGAGTGGAAACTCGTAAACACAAGGTGAGCGTACAGTCGTCACGTGGGCGAAGGTAGGGGGTTGGGGGTGCGGATGCGTTCACGCACCCACACACACATTGTCAATTATTCACAGATTCAAGGATGGCACTGCTGTAAGCCAGATCCCAGTAATGCTCCACGTCTCGTTTGCGAAATTGCTCACGAGCGAATAGCTCGGTGGGGCAAGCCCGAAACTGGACCTTGTCAAAAGCTCTCTGAGCCACTGTGCCCTGTCGAAAAAAGATGGGATAGAAAAATAAGAACGCGTTAGGAAGGTGCATAAATGGATACAACTGATTACCTCACATTAGTAAAATAATTGCAGATGTGAAAATATCCTTTCATGGAAAAAAGTTACACGTCACAAGAGGATCCGTTGAATTTCCGGTAAATCGGTAGAATGACCAACTCACGCCATTCATTTGGAACCTGCTCCTTCTCCCACACGGAACTAAGTGCTGAAAATTCACCCATCTGGATGAATAAAACTACCTCTCACTTGACCTGACTCGAGTTTAGCCAACTCCAAAACCAAGACTGAACCCCCATCCTTAAAAATCTACTTGGGACAACCCACCTGGGCCCAAAGCCTTATACTTTTTGAGATAACTTACTTCCTTGGTAACATTTATTTCCAGTTGATGTAGGGGCTGACAGGTCTAATACTGATCAAGGCCAGATGAACTGAGCCTGGAAATGTTCAGCCCGTCGATCAAGACGGTGTTGTTAATGATGAATCAGATTACCGTCACACTCCTTACATTTAGTTTTCTGAACCCCTTCAGTTCAGTTCATTTCACTTTATACAACCATTAACCATGCACTATCGTGCGCCGTTTTTGGTTGCTGTCTTTTGAATGCCCATTTGGATGAACATTAGGAGAAAGACAGGAAAAGTTGAAAGCAGGATCCAAGGGAAAATTTAGAATTTCAGTGGGCTAAGACAAGATGCAAGAACGCCACTGTTTACGACAAGCAGCCATATCACTCAGTGTCTCCAACCATCGGTGATCATCATCCCGAGGTCCCCAGCCAGGGAGCCTAAAACAATCTCTATCCACCATTTTTTCGCGGTTATTCCTCAAACTCTTGATGAGCTGATGTTTAAGGGGTTTGCACGCTGTCAAATTGTGCATCTGGAGGAATCATTCTACAGGTATCCAACAAGACAATCGAGATCGGTTGTGCTTTGACCGCACACCAGGATCCGCCGTTGTTCTGATTGACATTTGGATACCTAATTCACGTTCAGTGTTCACTGAATCCTTTGGCGAGTGGTTGAACAGAGAGGTGATCGGAGAGCTCCGCTTCGAAGGCCGATTGGCAACTATAGGCATCCGGTTCCGGTGGCTTGTTGGTGATTGATTAGCAGGCTTAGGGAGAATCTAGCTTGTAATAAAGAGTGGTCCGTGTCCACGGCTGTTGATCAGTAGGAGCGATAGTCTTCGGCAGATCTTCACAAGCAGTAGCTGATAACGATGTAGTCGGTTTTAGTCCATCACCATGAAGAGGTAGGGGGTTTCCATGTGAGGCGGTGTTTTCTTGTGGCAGAAGCTGGTACTCGACAGAAACAATCCGTGGTCCAAGCAAAGTTGAAGTAGGCAATCTCCGATGTCCGTCCGGTTAGATGGGATGACGTGCGGGCCTCCTAGGCACCTTTTGGATTCTTCCAGGTATCTCACTTAAGCATTGTAGTAGTAATAGTAGTAGTAGTAGCCTCCAGCTGTTACTACGATATCCGCTGACTGACCACTCTGGAACATCAAGACCGAAAGAAGATGTACATGGCGAGATATTAACACTTCGTTAAATCTTCTCAATAGCCGACGTGAAAAATCCTAGTGAACAGACATCTACAGATAAACAGTGGTTATTAGAACTAAAAACAAGAGGCAAACTCCACGACAAGTGAACTGATTGCATCAACAACTTCTGGGCGCACAAAACGGGATGATGTAATCGAATCAACAACACCTCAACAATGGTCAACAGTTTTGCATTGCAGTTACATAACAACTGTTTAAAAGAGGAAGCGGGATCAATCATTTGTTTGGTTGTCATCAGGTATTTTGGAATTTACCACCCCGACTTCCGTGTAACCGCCTGATTACTGAGTAAGGGTTGCGTCATAGACTTCACCAGCCACTGAAATATGTTCGTCCATTGGTTGTGATAACTGACGGTTGATTCTGCCTGAGTACGCGTCAGCGTATACGGTGACAACGAAATGTTAACATCTCATGATATACTCAGCTGTGGTCTGGATGCGATAGATAGAAGGAACTCAGTGCTTCACTTTGGAACAGTTGAGAAAGACCCTATTAGAATTCANATTCATCCTTGGTTTCAGATGCACTGTATTCGGTTGTTTACAGTTTCAGTTTCAGTTTCAGTTTGCACAACCATTAACCATACACTATCGTGCGCCGGATTTGGTTGCTACCTTTTGGATGCCCATTTGGATGAACATTAGGAGAAAGACAGGAAAGGTTGAAAGTAGGATCGAAGAGAAAATTGAAAAGTTCAGTGGATTAATGATACAGAGAAATTGAGAAAATGCATAAACGCCACTGTTTACGACACCCAGCCATATCATTCAGTGTCTCTAACCATCGGG